ATTTATTTAGTAATGGTACATGTACTAAGAGCTCAGTTCTCATCAAACAGAAGTTATTACTTGCATTCTTGAAGGACTGATTTGGTTATAAGTAAAGCATCCAGAGGAATCTTTGATTGACGAGAGATTTTTTTTCAATTGCAAACTACTCCACTCTGCTTTTTAGAAAAAATATAAATGCATTACATTGTAACGCTTGAGGACATGTCTAATTTAAACATATTTGATCAATTTGATAATGAGGCTTAATAGTGAAAATAAGTATGATGTTTTGTGTTTGACTTATGAGTGTTCATTTTAACACTGAAACAATTAAAGAGCCGAATAACTTGTAGAAAAATGAAGAGGGCTTTTCATTACTGCTAAGCAGCACTTGGTTAATGAGATGAACTCACAATAAGAGCAAACTTAACACCTGTCATTACCGTAAAGTACTCTGACTGTTACACTTGATCGGTTGTAAGTGACTCTCTTAAGTCTTATATAGTATAGAGGCATGTTATTCGTGAGCATTTCTTAAGTATTTGCATAATATATAGCAGGCGTTTTTGCAGCGTTGTTCGAAGGGACGTAATTTGAGTTATCGAACTTTGTTCCAAACTTGCTTTATGCAAATTTCCAATCCTAAAATAATGGCAAGTGAGAATTGTATATGGCAGATGTATTTAAAGTGTGGATGGTGGAGAATGTTCAAACAAAATCAACTTTGTAAAATTAGTCTTTCAGAGTTTGATGATAAATATGATTAAATATCCATATTTTTCAGAGTTTGGAGATAATTATGATTAAATATCCACACTTTTGAAAAAATAAGTTTTCAAAAACAGACTGGGTGGGAATTTTTGTTTTTAATTCACATTTTCTTGATATATGATTGTTTTCTTTCTTAGGGTTCTTAATTGGTAGGCACAAAATATCCAGAACAAATTAACACTCCCCCATGACAAATGAGTATATTTTTTGTTTACAGGGAATTAATACTGCTTATTTTAAACATAATTTAATTGCACTGTATGGCACTGCAATGTCGACCAAATACAATTTTAAAGACTTAATCCAATTTTATTATACATGAGTTTATGAGGAAAAATTAATTAATTGATAACCTTAATTAACAATTACAATGTAATATGCATGTCAAAGGACTTTTCGACAAAGTTACATATTGCTGATTATTTTTGGACGACTAGTTTGGGTATATGAAAGACTGAAAATTACAGAAATCTGGTGTTTGACTGATGAGTGAAATTTTTGAGATTGCTCAAGATAAGCAACAGGAAGAATAAAGGGACTTTATTTTAATAACAGTACTTAGAGATCAGTTTACACCAAACAACAGTTATTTTTCTGAATTTTTTATATTAAAGGGGTTATTTGGTCATCCATTAAATATGCATGTCAATGGACTCTTCGACAAAGTTACGTAATGCTGATTTTAGTTTCGGTATATAAAAGAATGAAAATAAAGAAATCTTATGTTTGATAAGTGAAGATTTGGGGAGTGATGCAGATAAGCAGTAGGAAGAATAAATGGAATGTATTCTGTTAACGGAACATAAATATCCACACCTCTATAATTTTGTGCATTGAAAAGAAAAAAAGTTTTCAAAAACAGAAGTCTCTACATGAGTGAAAAACTCTCGAATGGGACTTAAAACAACATTCAATCAACAATCCATAACAGACTGGATGGGATTTTTAGGACACCTGGGTCCGCCGTCATAAAACATACTTAAGTCTGAGAATGCTCTCAAGTCTGAGAATTTTCTCAAATCCAAAATTCTCAGACTCAGTGTTGAGAAAAATAAAAAGTCCTTCAACTCTTTTATTTTAAAATTCTCAGCTGAGTAATTCTCAAAAGTTGAGTTGAGAATTTTTTTGAGAATTTCCAAAGTTTTATGACGGCGGACCCTGAACTGAAAATGTATTGATTCTATGAAAATCTTCTCGTCTGCTCCTGGTTATTAATCAAATTAACTACATACATGTAAATACATTCAATTATGATAACTGAATAAATAATGATTTTATATAATGAATTTAAAAAAATTATTTTTTCTTTGAAAAAATATATTTTAGAGTTTCTTGAGGGGATGTGATTGCCTTCATTCGCATTGTAATCTACGAAAGAGAATTCCAGAGGGACGTGAGGTTTACTGTGATCTCTAGCATACATGTAGTCTTGCTAGTGTAAGGATACCACTGCATGGCAACCGTTATCATAGTAACCTTGTTGACAGAACGTATCAGCGGATCATTGGCATTTCATTGGTCACCTGTTTTGACTTGAAGTCGACATAAACATCACAATTACCGGTAAACCATGTAAGCAATTGGATTTCCAATTTACACTTACAGAATTGTTTTCTTTTTTAAATTTTGAATGTCCACGAAACCTTTTCATTGTAACATATAACTTATTTTACTTCAATTTTAATTCAAAATGCAAAATTTGCTATGTCGGTTGCAGAGTCATAACCCATTGTTTCCAGCAGGAAAAAAACGAAAATTATATCGTACATGTATATCATTTTTATTTGAATATTACTAACATAGGTGAACTTAATTTGACATTTGACAATTTTTTTTATTTTTGGACACGTAGATCCAATTTTTACTTTTAACTACACAAATCTTAATTTTAATTTTGAAAAATTCGCTGGTGAACTGGATATACATGTACATTAAAATTTATTGAAAGGAAACAAATTGAGGGGCGTTTTTGGTTTTGTTTGTTTTTTAAACGTGTGTACGAATCTTTTTTGTGCTATAATAATATTCTTTACATATTTAATCAAACAATGTTGAAATAGAGCTAGATGAATACCACTGTGAAAACTAAAAAAAAAGTCAATATTCATTATTTTAAAATTAAATTTTGATAAAAATTTGATGTCATAGTTTGGAATCTTTTCTGTCTAAATATTTAATATTATTCCTATGATTTGCAAATAAATATCGAAAACAATTTTAAAAGTGTATTTGGAGTAATTGAGGTATGTTTTAATTTAAACAATATTTATTCACTGATGTTATTGTGAATAGAATTGGGTAGCAGGCGCAGCCTATTTTAGCCCTCTCCCTACATGTTATATGTTTTAATGACTGGAAGGTAGGGATTTGTGGAATAAGGGACTTTTAGGCTTATAAAGTAAGTTTTTTCGGAGTTATTGAGGTTTGTTTTAATGACTGGGAGGTAGGGTTTTGTGGAATAAGGGACTGCTAGGCTTATCTCTTTATCAGGCTGTGGTTAAGGCTGACACCGAAACATTCCCTCCAGTAATGGAAAGTTTTCCCAAACTCCATCACCCCGTACCGCTAATGGCCGCGAGATGGCGAGGCATGACGTCACGGATTCATAATGAGACTGTTTGTATAACAAGCCCATGCTCCGAATATTTCTACGACATGATGCCAATACGAGGTGAAATTTTAGCACTTTTTTATTTTATACCATATACTTTTTCCATGTTTTTTTTTCTAAATAAAAAAAATAGACATTTTCCACCAAAGATCATCTTCGCAATGCCAGGGGTCCTGAATCAAGACATTGCCGTGGTGACAAGATTTAAATATAAATTTTAGATAACCATTTCATGTATTTGTATAGATTACAGATTTAGCAGTACTAGTCAAATCAGGGACTCTATATGACAGTAGATAAGTCGCTGGTGAAAATGAAATATTTCTTTAATTAAATTTCAATCATATTATAAAAATAGTTAAGAATTGTATTTTTTACGTAAAATTATAGTTCAATGAAGTTTAATGATATATTCGCCATTTGACAGACCCTAATTACGTACCTATTTTACAGGAAGGGTTTTTGAACACTTAGTGGTTTCAAAATATTAAAAGTTCTTTAAAACACATATTTCAAAAAAATCATTTTCATGTTAAATTTGATCGTGGAAAATGTTAAAAAGATGAATATATACATGTTTTTTTGTTTTGTTTTGTGTTTTTTTTTATTTTTAAACTTTTATATGCAATGCTATTTTGTCTCTTGTCTCCTCCACTTCTGACCTTTTTTTATTTTTTCTAAATTTTAGTACAAACTAAAAAGTATTTCTGACCAAAAGTGAGAGATGAGGGTCATATAATTAATGTTACAAACAAATAGAAGAAAAGTTGTTCAGTTTTGTTTTTATAAAAGCTTTCAACTACTCTAAAATATACTTTGTGACAATTCTCTTCTTCCAGTATTGTTTTTCTTTTCTTTTCTTTTTTTTTAAGAAGAAACTCATAAAATTAATTTTGCAAGATCTTATGATAAGCTCTTTTTTTTAAAACAAATCTCAGGACTGGTGTGTAGCTTATTAAACAGTAAAATTTAACGTAAAGTGTAAGCCATGTCCCCCTTTTGCGAGGGATGTTGTATACATGTATTACAAATGCACTTCTTATGGAAAAAATACCACTTTCCTTTGACCAATGCCATTGCTGTCAAAATACTCTTCATTAATTCAATCTGAAGAATTTCGTACTTTATCATTGTAAGTCCATGCAAAAGATTGGATTGCTCATCAAAGATTATATAATGTCTTTCTTTCTTGAAATAATTTATTGAAGAAAAAATTAAAACAAACTAAAAAGAACACAGGAAATCTCGAGCGAAAATTCTGAAACTTTGCAGATTCAAATAACTTTCAAGTGAACGTTTTACAACTAATTCTGGTTATGAACTGAATGATTTTATATGAGGTAAAACAACCAATTTACCATAAAAAAGTTTATCAATAAATTAATATATTATGACTAATATGTGACATAACTGGTCTTACCCACCACTAAGTTGATAAAATTTAATGTGATTCAAATATTAATATTTTATTGGTAGACGCTTAAGGGGAACGATCCTTGTAATTTCAATTCATACTGTGCGCTCAGATTATAAAATAAAAAGATAAACTTGGAACTTCACGGACAATGTAAGCAAAACATTCTTATTTGCAACAAAATTTTTTTTTTCAATTTAAAAATAAGCACAAAAAGCCTTAAAATGCAAGTAAATAACAAATGTAATCAAGCCACGATTCTCATAATATAAAAAAGACAAAGAGTCATGACGCAATATCACAATGTACAATGTTACAAATGACATCATATCGTTTGATATCGTTTGATATGTAAATGACGACATCAGAGGTCACGTGACTATCCACAAAGCTGACTGAGCCGGGCTGCTTGACCCATGAGGGTCATGATGTCGGAAGTGGCCGAGTTCAGAGTCGTATTCAGGCTGGACATCTTTGTGTTCATGTCCGTTTTAATGGCGTCCACGTACTGCTTGGCCGACTTCCCGTTTGTGGTGAAGTTTCCTTTTAGAGCATGGACATCCTGTTCTAACTGTAGAAGTTCTCCAGCTTGTGTTGTAATCTTAAGTCAACAACAACAACAAATATGAAAGATTACAGGCAATCGGAAATATTTTGCATAAATTTTGCAATATTTATTGTTACTGACTTTTGAAATTTTTATTTTTTATCGAAAATGTATATTTGGTAAAATTTCAATAAAATATAGATGCAAACAATTTCAATGCAATAAAGGGCCATATCTGCATCTTTTTATGCATTTATGAAATTTGCTACAGATTTACGAATGAATAAAGTTAAATCACTTACCGTGGTGTTGAGATTCTGCAAATCCTTTTCGACTTTGAGGGCGTCTGGAATGAGTTTGGATATATCTCTCTTGTTCTTGAAAATCTGCATCTTGTCCTTGATAATGTTACCTCCCAGCTGCTGAAGGTTAGCGATCACCGTAGACACGTTCTTGCTGGTCTCCAGTATCTCCTGTTGAAGTATGGTCATTTTTGGCGTGACGTCCTTCTGGAATTGGGTGAGGTTATTAATGGCGTCCTTGACCTCCTGCTCTGTGACCTTTAGCCTGGAGAACGCCGCCTGTGACGAGGTTTTGGCTTTGGCGATTTCTTGCGTCTGGTTGGTTACTTCTGTCTTGATTTGGTCTGCTTTGTTGGTCAGGTCTGTGATCTGTTTAGAGTGAGACTGTTCTACTTGTTTTACCTCTGATTCGAGTTTCTGGAGTTGAGACTTGAGTTGGTTCAGAAGAGCCGTGGGCGCTGTTGGCGCCGGTCCAGTGGTAGCTGCAGCGCCACTTGTGGTGCGCGTGCCTTGGGTGGTTGTTGTGGTCGCCGGTGGCATTGTGGCGGCAGGCGTAGATCCCGATTGTAAATTCTTCAGCATATTCTCAAGAGTTATAAGCTTCAGCTCAGCAGCTGCTATTTTAGTCGTCTGGTCGTTGATCTGTTTATTTAAAGCCGTCTGAATCTTCATTTCTTCAACAGCACTCTTTTGCAATTGCATAGTAACGTTGAAAATTTTACCGTTAATGTCACTGATGGCTTTCGTAAGTAAATCTTTGGTATCGTGTAACATCTGATTCAGCACTGCAGAATTTCCGGATGATCCTCCGCTTCCAGTGGATGCAGTGGCCGCCAACTGCTTTAATTTTTGGACTTCGTTGGTCAAGTCATTCAATTTGCTCATATAACTAGCGCCATCACTCTGAATACGGGCTAGCGTGCTCTGAATAATGCTGTTCTGAGACACATATTGGAACTTTGTTTTATCGAGATCCTGTTTCACTTGGTCCACTTTCTTATCCAAAGCAGAGGAAGTTCCAGCACAAGCGCCTTTTGGATCTGCCACATGGAATTGGTAAGTACATGTTCCACTGTTTTGAGTGTTGCCACTGTTAGGAGCGGGCTGTGGCGGTTTTGTCGTCGTTACTTTGGCTTTCTGGGTGGTTGTTGTTTTTAAGCTCAATTTCGTCGGCAAGGGTTTGATTGGAATAAACTGAGCGGAACAAGCCGCCAGTGCCACCAAAAATATCGTGAGTTTTCCGTACATTATTGAGTCTGAATTAGCCGTTCCGATGCAGACGACGTTTATTAAAGTGGTCAGGTAGTCTCGGATCTTTATAAGTTTAGGGGCGGGAGAGTTGTGGGGCTTATCTTGTTTGCATAAACAATTGGCGAATGATTGGCGGATATGAGAGCTGAAGGCAAACTGAACAAACAGGCTTCTAACAGCTTCATGTTTCTCAGGAAAAAGACATCCTGGTAATCTAAGAGACTGAAAAAAATGACTGATGTTGACCAGTTGTCCGAGTTAAACTTATACAAAGCCATCGGTAGTGGTTGGGGGCTGGTTTTGTCGCTAAAACATGAAACTTGCACCCTGTGCTCTGTATCGGCACTTTGCGTCAGAATTACCAAATAAATGGCGATTCCAGACTGCAGAGAGCGGCTCCACATACAACCAAATTAAATTTACTTTAGATTCTTTCGCGAACTATAAACTTGTTCCAATTTTCTAGACGTGTAATATCTAGGTGTAGCATCATTTGGCTATGTATCTATAATCTAACAGGTTTTTTTACCCGTTCTAGGGGAAAAGTGTTGTCATTTTAGTCCAAACGTATATAAACTTTTCCTTGGTTGTCCTGATTATCTACCAATTAAATGGGGGTCATGGCGAATTGCTGCGTGTTTTACGGGGATTGGAATGAACACAATTTAGATTTCATGTAAGTTAGTGCTATATTTCCCCTCATGTTTTGGCCATGAGGTATAAACTAGGTTTTGATTTGAAAAGCTGCTTATCTTAGTCATACACGCCTCTTTAATTTGATAACGAGAAAAATATAAACATTTATAGTAATTGTAAAGAAATCAGAGAGATTTTCAGTTTATGTTATTTTTTTCCTTTTGCACTGCTTGCATTTTGCCCTGAAAATTAAAAACTTCTCTTTGAAAAAAGGGGGACTTAAAATGATGCAAAAATCTATATACATGTATAAATAAGTCAAGCCTAAGTAACAAAACAAAAATATACTTTTTTCTTTGCAAATCTCAGACTTATTTTAAGTCTATGAATGTGTTTGCAAAACCAATTCAGTGTAAACAAATCTTGACCAAAAAAATCCTATTCCTCCAAGTATCTAAGTTGTAGGACATTAAAAAAAATCTTATTTTTAATACATTAGCTTATTGTAAAAAATATTGAACAAAAATAAATGTAACTACTTAGTATATTAATTCAGCGAAGAATTAAAGAGTTTTCATCTTAATCGTAAAATGTTTTGTAAAAAGGGTCAAAAGAGATACATGAATATCCATGATTTAGGAATATATCGCATTTATGAAAAGAAACTAGAGATACTGCTCACTAAATGATACCCCCGCCTTGCATATGGTTAAAATGTTAAAATGTTTTGCTCAGGGAGAAGTCAACGTTTATCATACATGTAATGTTTTATGTTAGGTTACCACTAATATCTTTTATCTACTTAAAATATCAAATTAATGAAAATATATAATAGATTGTCAGACTTTCGTATTTTTTTTTATTTGAGGTGAAAGGGAAATATCAAATCAAATTTTAAAAAGTTCTCTGAAGAAGCTATTACAATTAAAGTGCAATTAATATTTAGCGATATTTAATTTTAGCGAACTTGGCACCATCGCTAATAATGCCAAAATTAAATCCTCGCTAAAAATTCTACTTATATTGTTAATGTCGATATATGTTTATCTAAATGTCCAATTCAAGGCCAGCAGACTTTTCTTTTTCTAGAAGTATTTGAAAAAAAATATGCTTCATGTGAATACAGAAATAGATCAGCGCAATAAGCACCCATGAAAATTCCGGCAGATTTTTGGAAAAAATTTTCTGGAGTAAAAAAAATGCGTTCTCTGTGCTTATGAAGGTGTAATATAATCAATTATCAGTCAATCATTACAAAGTCTGAAACTAATCACAGAAAGTCGCATACATGTATTTTAACAAGACATATTTTTAAAAAATAGTAGTTGAATTTAAATTCATTAAAAGTGTAGTAAAAAATGGGTATCCAAACGGAGAGAAAGGAGTGTAATTTAAAAGAAAAAATAAATTTACCCTTTTTTCGTTTCTAAGAGATACAATTTATCTACAATGACTAGTTCTATCATCAATGAAGTTTTAAACATTTGTTTGTGTACCAGGATTGTTCTTTCAGTCGAAGATGAGTAAAAGTTTGAATGAAATGTTGTGAAACATAAGACAATAAACATCGGCATTTCCTTAATTAACGCGCACTCATCCTTTGTAAAAGACGAGGGCACACCTTTACCAAGGCATGGGTTATTCTAGATCTTCTCTTCTTAGTAGGGATACCTTGATGACAAATTCAACCAATTTAGACAATCGTTATAGGGAAGTTAAAGAAAATGTACTGTAATCACAAGAAATTACCAGTATTTCTCTGATTCAATAAAATTCCAGTTGAATCACAAATTAATAAATTAAATAAATGAAACGATATCAAAATATTGCGCGTTCGATTACATTAAAAGCAAAATATGTTTTGAATTAAATATTTAAAACTATGTATTAGTCTAAAACAAATAATATTAATTATCAAACGAAATCGTGTCAAAAATTTCGAATTCGATAACATTTAATTAGAACTTTAATTTTTTCAAACAAATCAATGCTTCATTTTGCAGAAGATAACTTAATAAAAATTCAAACAAAAGCAAGCCAGTTTTTAACATGCTCAAACTTGAAAATTAATGACTGAATGGTTAATAACCTCTTTGCCATGTTCCCGTTTTGCACAAATCTGATACCTCTTTGTATCAAAAGCATCCTGATATTAATAATGTAAATTAAAGATATTGAATATTAAATTAATAATTTTTAAAATAAAAATTATTATTCATATATATGAAAATATTTAACAACAAAATTCTTCGAACGAGTGTAAATTAGCTACGGGTATGAGGAAGTATCTATTGTTGAAAAGGAAGAAATATACACCGATGAGATCATCGTCATGTGAACGTTTGTCAGAACAACAAAATTTCAAATTTCGGGATAAATATAGTTTTTAATGGATGGAGGTCGCATAAAATTAGTTGTTTCGTAAGCTGATTTGGTGGGAGTTTGGTTTCACAGCTATGTTTGACACTAAACAATGAAAAACAATACGATAAAGTTTCTATTATGTGGGGTACTTAATCGGCGCCGAGAATAAGTCTTTTTGACAAAACACTATTTTATTTGGTCATTTCAAACCACGGGTCCCGTGAAATCTTGATTTTACAGTTTCACATAATCCGAAATATTTTCTGTTTATCCCCTTACGATAAGATTAGAGAGGAGGTTGATGGCTGCAGCCAAACTTTCAATTAGTGTATTCTGTCGACATTCCATTGGAAGCTAGGAACAAAATCATTATGCAACCAATAAGCGATTTTAGGGGGATTTCAGTCGCAGTTGTTTTCCTCTCATTGGTGATGGTAAAACAAGTTCATTTCCGTCGTCGATAGCAGGCAATCACTCCGCGGCCTAATCTACGAAGCCTGACGTCGACGCCTCCTATACTCCATCAAATCGCTCACGTTTTTCGGCTATAAGATACGACTCCGGTTCAGGTGGTGGACAGATTTGATTTAATCCCTTAAAGAAGTAACTACCAACATGAAGCCTGTGGCAGTCTATATTTGGTTACTTCTGGGCGTGTCTCGCGCTGTGTGGGGATCCAATTCCTGTAGCTACTATTACAATATACCCAAATCTTCGGGGGCAACGTGCGAGTCCCAGGGCGGTGTGGATAGAGACTTAGAGGAAAAAATATGGAAGTTGGAGGGAGGCATTGAAGGAATCAAAGTTATCGGGAAAGGGAATATGAATTTAGTGACAACGGTTCAAAATACTGCTGGTCAGGTACAATCGAGTCAAAAGATGTCCGACCTGAATGCCTTACAGAAGCAGATTGATGGTCTAAAAACTATTTTTAAGTCGCTCCCAACCGGAAATCAACACCCGCGTGCTGCTAAACCAACGCTTCAGAAAGAGGCTGCAGAATTATCAATGGCGGAATGGAAGTTGATCAATGTTTCCTTGGAATTTAAAGCGAATCAAAGAAGCAGATCTATTGTGATGAGCGGCATAGAGCAAAAACTACAGGCTCAAGAGAAAAAATTGACAGATTTACTTAACAAGATCGCCATTTTAGAGACCAAGATCATGTCGCACGTGTCTCATCATAGAGGTAAACGCGCCGCTACGCCATCTTCTCAAGATGCCGTAATAACCAACATGACCAACCAAGCCATAGATCTGCGGGTTGACGTTCGCTCTATTGGAAAGAATGAGCAGAAGAAGTTAACAGATTTAACTAAAACGATAGACGGATTGAAGAAACCGGTGACGGACGCCAAAGCGGATCTGAAGAATCTCACCTCCTCTCTCAATGGAGTGGCAACCAGATTAATGAAGGTGTCTAGCGATGCTAAGAAACTTCAGCAAACCGCGCAGAATGTGTACGGGAACGTCAAACCGAAGCTGGATCAAGTCCAGAAGGAATATCGCAACCTCTCCGAGCAACTCCGAAATGCCACCATCGATTACAGTACAGCCCTAAACGACCTGGCACAGAAGTCAAACGATGTGAAACAAAACACGAAAGACGTTGCAAAACTGAAAGCTGATTATATTAAGTTTACTAATGACTTAAGCTACTTGCATATGAATGTAACGGTCCAGCATAACGATATGGTGAAACTGGAGAAAAACCCCATCGTTTTGATCGGAAAGGTGGATTTCGACGTAAAGACCTTCCTTTTGAAGGCTGATAAGTCCCTCGCTCAAGTCAACAGAGTTCTACCAGTTCTACAAAAACGTATTAAAATGCTCGGTGGCAAACCAACAACAATCCCCTCTGGTTAAAATGACCTTCGATGCGTCCGTGTCAAGGACAAATGGTGCAGTGACATTTGATTTTTCGAAAAACGATTGATTTTAGATTTTTTGTGTTTTTGTTTTCTTTACAATGGTAAGGATGTTAATATTTAGCTTATTTAATAAATGGTTATATTTCTCGAGCATGCAAAATCGAGGTTAAAGAATTTTGTATAAACTCTTACAAAACAATTAAAATTTTACAGAGCAGACACATGAACAATTTCATTGTTTTAAATAATTTAAGCTTGTAGAATGTTTACATGTGCATATATATCGAAACAGTTTATGATTATTTAAATATCATTATTAAATGAGAAGAATTCATTTTAAGGTTTAAACCACACCTGTTTTGGAGTGTAAGCTCAAAGATTTATTTATTACTATACAAATGTTTTCAATAATACTTTACGTCATTATGATCGTATATTCCAAATTCCAAAGGTGGGTGCTTTTCTAAAACCTATGTATACCACTATGATACCAGTTACAAAGTAAAAGCAACATAGAAGGAAAAGAATATTGTTAATTAATGGGACTTGATACTAAAAAAAATTCTTCAGTTAGTAATTCCTCTTAATGATAAAAATAGCCTATTCAAAAATCCAGGTTGTAGATTATTCATTAGTTTCCAACTTGAATATAAATTTGTAAATAAGTAATCGTAAAATCATCCTGTTTCATGGTTTAAAAAATGGATAACTAGATGGGCAGGGAAATGGGGTTGTTTTTCTTAAATTGTGTTTACCTGCTCGGACTGACGCTCTCTGGCAATAACGCTCACATGGGCCGCATTCTTGTTACAAGAACCATAACTTCTGCACGGCGTATGAAAGCTAGTATAGGAAAATATAATCTTATACACAGTCTTTAGATAATCATTATTTTTTCCCAAAGACTAACATGCCTTTCTTATTATCAATTGTACATGTACGTGGTCACGAGGTCGTAATTTAAATTCTTACATGAAAATGTTAAGTTTTCAAAACGTTATAAGCATAACATGTGAAAAACTGGTATCTTGTAAAAAAAAAATATCTGATGTTTATCAAGGTCTATTCAATTTTCTCAGATTTAGAAAATAAAATTAAGTGTCAATAGATGGCGCCAATGTCAAGTAGAATCCTTTGAGATCAATGAAACCGATGGCGACATCTGTCAATTGCATTTAACGTCAAAAGCGACCTCTACCGGAACAACTTAACGAGTGCAATCGAGATTAAATTTGTCTTCCTTGAATGCATTGATTTATATATTTAAACAAACGACAACATTAAGAAGTATATAAAATAGGAAGGGAAAAGAAAAAGTCACAAATCGCTAGTTCTGCTATCTAGACCGCGTCGGTTCGAGACCGCGGTACTATCAGCCTAGCCCCGCCCAGATCACCGAGAGAAGAACAGCGCACAATGCCCCGGCTGTGATGGCTTTTGACGTCTTTCTAATTGGGGAGATGGTTATTATATCCATATTGTATGTTTGCTGTCTCTTAGGATCAAATTGCCAGCTAAACTTCAAGCAATAAGACGTTTCCTCTTAAAGAAACCCAAATTTGAGAACGGAGTTGAGGTTCATTTATAAGACTTAACCGTCACGCAAAACCAAATTACATCCTGGTGGCATACTTATTAATTCGATTTAAGGACTACTTTGTTTAAAAAGTCCTTTTGTTTTATTAGAATTAATCAAAATGATCGAATTGGAGGCTCGACTTTGGCTCGGATTTTCCCTGTGAAATCCATGAATGCTTATAATAAGCCGACTTGACACGAAAACTTTTAGGAAATATAAATAGTATTAGCATGTGCTAGAACAGTTTCTATAGAGTTCCAGGGATAATAATGTTGCCAACTCATTTTCCGGGACAAGCAAGTCTAGCTGGGTTCCATAGCATTGATGCTCTTTTAGGAATTCGCGAGGAAATGCGAGAGAATTACAGCATGTGTTCTCACCCTGGACAAAAACACGTGCAGGGAAATTCCAGAGTTCAGTCAACTTCATCTGATGCAGGTAAGTTTTTTTCATGTAGATAATTTTACTTATATTAAATGTACATCAAAATTCGTGAGATTATGATAATCTTTTTTAAAAATATCAATTGATATCAAGGATGCATTGATTGAATTATTTTATCTGAATACAGTTTAATTATGCATTGGCCCCAAATTGACGTTAAAATAAAATGAAAAGCAACAATTTTCTAATTCAATGTTGTTCAGGGAAAAATACACAAGATAAGAATTAAATAACTGACAGTAAAATAAAAACTGATAAAAATTATGTATGAAATTAAAACTAAGATTAAAGTTGGCTGCATGTAAAAAAAAACAAACAAACAAACAAACAAACCTAAATCAGAAAAAGATGGGGAAAAAATAATTACTAGTTTTTCTTATACGAAGAAGCTTGGAAACCCAAATCGGTAGATATATTTTTATCAGATGTACATATATTTATTTATCATTGTCTTTTATCAAAATAATCAATTTGAATCCTTATTATATAAATGAAATGATGTGTGTTTCGGGAAACCTGAAATAAATTATATAAATGTTTGTACCTTACTTAAATACACAAAAGTAATTAAAAAATCAGGAAGACTTCTTGTTAAAATTAGATATTGTAATTGTAAGTAAAGTTCAATGTACACATATTTAGAATGTTTTGGCTACCAACTACATATTTCTTTGTGTATGGTCATTTGTTATAATATTTTTTGTACAAATTAAAACAATGAAATAGTGAGTCTCGCACGAAATATAACATCAGAAATATTTTTTGAGAATTTAAGATACTCTCTCTAAGTTAATTAGCGTTATAAAATAATAATAAAATTCATGTATGGTTATTTAACAACAAAATCGATGGATTCGGCATTGGTCCTTTCAAAAGAATGAGAATTTTAGATAAAAATCTATATATAATCTAACTTAGAAATATTATATTAAGAAACATGTCTATTACAATGCTTAAAAAGTAATCTAGAATGGTGTTTTCATAACCTATAGTTTAACACCGCAATACTAATTTCAGATCCTTGGGAAAGAAATGTTCCCACATGTACGATTCAATTTCAAATTATGTAAAAAGTTTTGAAAACGGAAAAAAGGCTGTATTTGAGAATAAAATTTTATTGCAGTCGCTCATTTCTTTGTTCAATTAGGGTGTTTGTGTTTTTAATGAAGAAAACTACCTAATTGTGTTAATTCATTTTGTAAGTTTTGCTCAAAGTTAAATTGATTTTTGTTTGAAGTTTATTTATAATATATAACTCTAACATGTAGTTTCAAATAAGTAAATTGACTTAAACTTGTGCACCACAAACTGCAATAGTTATTGCCGAAAAGAAATACACTAAAAAGTTAAAAACACACAAAAAAATATTGAAAATAATAAAATAATGAAACCACAAACACAACGGCAAAATACGAATGTAACTACCAGGCACAGTCTTTATAATTAACTCTCCTTAAAGTTAACAAAATATTTTGTATTTATTATGAATTTAAACGGAATATTCTTAAGAGAGAGACTTAAGATTATGTGTCCTTCAATTAAAAATTCAAATTTCAATTAAAATTTCACTATACATATAATCAAACTTTACATTTCACTTTGAGTAATCCAAGATGAACCCGATAGAAAAATGTCAATTAAGGAAGCTATAAGATTCCTCTTAATAAATATATGCCAAAAAGAGGCTCGTCAAACCTAATTAAAGTTTTTATCTTGTTAAACTGAAATCAAAGGCGCGTTTGTATCGAAGGTATTAAACTTAAATGACACCACCATTGCATTGAGAAAATTATAATTTTTTGAAGAGAGAAACGAGACACCGACATCGTAATGCGCTGTCACATCTCAATTCAATAGCAACCTCGTTAGCGGCTGGAGAGCGCGGCGCGGCGCAACACGGGCGACAGTTTGAAAACTAAGGATGTCGCCTGCAAGTTAAAGAAATCCCGGGTGTTAAATATCTTCTTATTTCCCCATTCTTCTTTAAACGGCGCCCATTTACAGTTATTGAGCTGTGAAATTTGTATGTGTATTTTGTGGAAAATAAACTTAATTCAATTATAAAATCTCGCCTAATGATATATTTTGAGGCATTTGGTGGCGCGGGTTCTTTTGTTAGATGTAATTTGAGAGGGGTGTCGAAAAGATAAATGTCAAATTTTATCATTTGTTACCTCGGGTCTATTAAAGATTGTATCAAGCTTTACAACTCATTCGACGTGTCATTTTGGCTCTTCTCTGTCAAAAACATTCTCTGAAGTTTGCATCGTTGATTTTCAATTTATTTGAGGTGGGTTTAAGCAAATATTTTGCACAAAAGAAAACAAAAATATAAATCACACGCTCAAGCAAATTTATCTATTTCCCAAATGTAATGCAGGTATATATGGATCAAAAGCTAGATTAAACTCTCGTATAAAGACCGTCAATATTTCCGTCTTCGAATTTATTTGTCTTTGATATCTGTGATGATTGTGCTATAATTTAATCTAGGAAACGACATGAAGCTGCAAAGAAATATTGAAGGAAGAAAATCCGGGAAGTTGGAAAGAAATTCGGACCCCCGCAAGAAAACAAGGCGAAACCGCACGACGTTTACAACATATCAATTACACGAGCTGGAAAGAGCGTTCGAAAAGTCGCATTACCCGGATGTATACAGTCGAGAGGAACTGGCCATGAAAATAGATCTCCCGGAAGTCCGAGTACAGGTATGTTTAGAGATTTATTGAATATTTTACACTTGGAAAACTAATCATGAATATGAGTGATATTATTAAGTTTTAACATGATAATTATGCTACTCTAAAAAGTCCACGAAATACTTTTTGTTTCGTTCTGGGTTTTTATATCATATTTTGACATTTGGTGTTTTTTTCGGTCTTTTATTTTATTCATGGCATATTTTTCTCCATTTGCATCCTTTTCTGCTTGTGTTTGAAAACAAATGACCATACCGTTATGAATTAATATATAGTGTTTTAGTTTGATTATATGTACAAAGTTTGGTCTGATGAATGATAAAACATCCTAACCCCAAGTAATGTATGTAATCGACTTTTATCTTTAAAAAAAAAGATTGATTAGAATTGTTTAAGACTAGTTCATTAGCTCGATTCATTACAGTTTATACATTTTGTCAATAGCTATCCTCTGTGACAGAAGGGTCTTTCATATGACTTGGGGTAACCTCGTTGTGCTAACAAGGTTTATAGGAAAGATATCAATGGAGAGATGTTAGACTTGATCCATTCTATTGCAGCTCTTAGCCCCGGTAATTGACTTAGCATGGGATCAGCTCACTTTGTACTTCAGTGTCCGATACAGAGGGACAGCTGGCCGTGTGACAGAGATAATCCGGACTCAACTATAGGCCGTCCCCACTAACAAGTTAATGGCTCAAAAGTAACCCTCAATTATGCACATGAATGAACTCCGAATCGAGTAAAGAAAGGCGACGAGTGTTTTTAATTGCATCCAAGAGTTTTTCGATGGGGGGGATTTTTAAACCAATCTTTTCTCTGTCTGCATAGCTTTAGGGTACGTCACGCGGCGCGCCCCGCCCCCTCCTTGTTCGCCCCCGATTCGATATTGTATCTACTGATTCTAAATCAAACAGAATCGTTTTTACTGACGTCTGTAGTATTTGGTGTCTTTGTTCCTCTGTCTTTTAGCGTGTTATTCAATTAACTGGATATTTCTATCAAACGAGGGGTCCACTTTCACGAAATATGTCGTCAAGTTTTTGAGAAATTTAAATAGAATAAAAACAGACCTCTACTGCAATTGAAAATTATAAGTATATATAATATGTATTTTTTCAATAATATTTAATTCTAAATCTCAGGTGTGGTTTCAAAATAGACGGGCTAAATGGCGGCGTCAAGACAAGCTGGAAAATTCAACGCTGAGGATCAATGAAGACTTCAGTTCTGGGCTGGTTCCACGAAAACCTCCAGGTGCCTTCGGATCACCCTTACCTCTCGATCCATGGCTTACGCCGTCTATGAAAAACGCCGAGTCATCCAGTGTGACGTCAATTGCGCCAGACACTTGTTTGACATCATACCCCAATCTGTTTCCTTCTCCATATGCACATTCTAGCAATGGTATGGGTAATACATACCGAGGATTCACGGGAGTTTTTGGAGGCTGTCCGAAAATAACAGACTTTGATCCCCGAAATTCTAGCTTAATAGCGTGCTTAAGAATGAAGGCAAAAGAACATGTGCATAGTGTTGATAAAAAGTACTGAGATTTGCTGTTTGCATGGTATTACATGAGCAATTCTAAATATGAAATGTATACATCGTCAAATTTTTTTCAATAAAAAAAATCATATTTCATATCCAAATGCAGTAAGACATGGTTGTAATGAACATCTTATACATGTATGACGCTTAGTGCGAAGTGATTTTCATTCCCCTTGAATTCAAACAAAATGTAATGTGAGATTAACGGATATAACGAATTACCTGTATAACGAAGCAAAACCGTCTGTCCGTTGCACTTCATTATAAGCGTGTTTTACTGTATTTTCTGTCTGCACACAAACAAATTAAAAGTACCTAAAGCATAAAATATCAATACACGTACATTTTTAAAATGGCGAAAATATCATGAAACGTTCCATTTTTTTTTCATATTCCGTCTTTTTTCCATTTATTAATAAAACAAAGTGGGATAGTCAAATAGGAGAAACCTTTAGTTACATGTATTCATAGTATTGTGTTATGTATTTTTGATAGTAAAGCATCATCATTTGATTATAATATCTTCAGTTCATATTGTTTTAGTTTTAAAAGTATGAATTCATCAATGTACATATATTGTGTAGTACAGTAAAACTCGTATAGTAAAAATACGGATATTACGAATTCAAGGTTATAGCGAAGTTATCTTGGATCCCCAGGTAAGTAATTTCATAGGTCCTAGTGACTTCGTTATAACCGAGGTTTACTGTACCTCATTTAGGCAGCTAGATGATGCTTCTGTTCTGTCGTTTCTTTTTAAATGTATAATTCATTATTGTTTCTAAACCCCCATGTTCGAAATTTGGTCCAGATGAGCAAATATGACTGGAAAACATAACGTTTTTAATCGATTTTCTGGGAGGTTCCCACATTTTTTGTGCAGTGTATTATTAGAACTATCATACTAGGACATGGGGAAAAGATATGTTGCATTAAAAATTCAGAATTTACCAATTTCTTTTTCTTAAGTTTTATTCAGTGTGAAACATGTACAAAATTTGTAATTGTAATTCATGAATATTATATTTTTTTAAAATAATTACCCTGAAGTTAACTGAAGTCAATTTGTTCTTACAAGAAAATTAATTCATTTATCACTTCCTACATGTATATGCGTTCATTTTCATTGATTAAACTAAATACATATTTCATTTTAATTGACAAGCACATTTAAAAGTCGTGGTCAAGATCAGATTTTCTTTTTTACAGTGGGTCAAAGTTGTTTTTAGGAGGGTCACACTTCAATGTCAAAGGGTCAACATTGATAGTACCCAGGGGAAGGTACTGGCACAAGAAATACACATGTGAAATATAGAAACCCCAGCACGAAATGTTAAGAAGTTATGACCAAGATTACTTTTCTTTCAAAAGCAGGTCAAACCCCAAGTTTTTTTTTCAAAAACTTAATAAATCTTTGACCGTAATTCCTGCATCAGGACGTATTGCTTCAATGATAATTGCATAACTTTTTTGATATTATGAGCAAACAAGACAGTTGCAATATGCGACTGTGCAAAACCATTGCCCTTCCGAAAGTAAGATACATGTAACAAAAACGGAAAATCACAATTTTCTCAACTCACATGTTCGCATTGTGACGGAGGGTGCAATTTCAATAATTTTTATTTGTGATTTTCTGTATTTTTTCGGACGCTTGTGAATAAGGGTCGTATGGAGATAACGAACCGTTATCAAGGTCAAAAGTTCATTGAAAAAAAAATGCAAATAAAGACCAAAGCAAACAGTGACCTCTAAAAATACCAGAGGTGGGATTAGGTGCAATGAAGAAATAAACATCCCCTTCCAGCCGGTTACACTCGCCGTGCGCTTCTTGTCATGATTGGGAAAAAAAAGAAAAATCTGTTCAGTGTGTAGAAAATGGCCTAAAAATAAGAATTAAAAACGTAAATCATTATTCGACTAAATGATAGATTGTATTTGTTTACTATGTCATTGTATCGAACATATAGAACTTGCAAACTGGTGACTTTATACGAGTCTGTTTATATTCTTGTTTCATCAACCTTTTTGTCAATAGCTTGTCCCGCATTTCTCCTACAAGTAAGAGCTAAAAACTGGAAGGCCATATCTCGGAAACTAGAGATGGTACCATCACTATTTTTTCATAGAGGTGGTATCTGACCCCTAGTACCCCACCCTCAAAATTTCAGACCACACAGCTAAATCTAAAATTTTGAATTGCGAATTGCGTTCTAGAACGCAGTTCACTTTTGAATTGCGAATAGCGAACTGCGAACTGCGTTCTAAAATCTGAACGCCGCCTCGGTTAACGTCCCTACGCTCCTTATATACGTTACGCGGCGCCAAGTCAAAAGTATCTCGCCGTGAACCTCTAGCATGCTGGAGTAGTCTCGCATATATATTAGAAACTGCAAGATGTTCTTTTGAAGTTAAAAGGTCAACTGTACAAAAGTTTTAGCCAAGATTAACATTAAGTAATTTGAAATTTTTTTCCAAACCCCAAGGTCACTGTCAAAAAGTAAAATATGTTGGTGTCCAAGAAAGGTCTTGTCGCAAAAAATACACATGAATTTTGAAACCTGAAATCCATGAAAGTTGAAAGTTTTTTGGCAAACAGACAACGGACAGACGGATATAAGAAAGGAGTGTTTTTCCATTCCTGTGAAACATTCTTTTTGCTAGCGCTGAGCCCCAGTCATTATCTGAGTGATTGTTCTAAACAAAGACAAGGGAGGTTTTATTTACGTCTAAGCCAAGATGGACTCTACACGTGTATTTTCAAGACCTCACCACAGTAAAAATATATTCTATATGCTCTCAATCATGACAATGTAGGCAAACCAAGAAATTCCATAATTACAAGAATTTACACTAAAAATGACAAAAAAATCCATTATTATGAAAAGAAATTCTGTGTATGGCTTTTAACCCAACAGTTCTTGACAAAGATGACCCAAAGGGCCAAGCCACTTCACATCTTCTCATTTGGAACTCTCTGGAAACTCCAATGGGTCAACACAAAAACTTCACCCCCCCCCCCCCCCGTTCGTTTCTTTACCTAGTGTCTGTAAAATACATTTTCACAAAAAATATAACTTTATCACACCAAGCCTCGATAAACATTAAACAAATTCAGCAAAGTAAATCTCTTGATCACGGACCATCCTTTCTGTGTTTAAAAATTGCTACGGCGCTAGCTCACCTATCTTTTTAGTTACAGAACTCGGATTTCGAGCCCGATACTTTTCTGCAAGTCATGTAAATTACAACTGAACAGTTGCATATAATGATTTTGAATGGACTGTAAGTCTGAAATGTTCATCATTGGAAAAGAGTTATCTCGCTTGTAAAAATTGATTTTGCATTTGGATAAGATTTTTGAGAATGTTTACGTTAAAGATGACAAATCAAAATTAATAAAAAGAAAAAGACTATCTCATGCAGAAGGCGGCTCCCCTTACTATTTTATTTAATACCGGTAATTCCCCAGGATTTTGTACCTCTTATGATTTTTTAAGAAGTTTCAATACATCAAGTAAATTTCTAAGCGAAAGACATTGCTCTTAGTTATCATTTCACAATTTTCAATCGTAACATCTTTCCTTCTCTTGTATGCGTGTTCATGCTTTGCTAGCTGCAGATCTGTAGCGTTATGGTTTATATACGTATATATATATATATATATATATATATATATATATATATATATATATATATATATATATATATATATATATATATATATATATATATATATATATATATATATATATTTGTCTTTGACCATAACGCTACAGATGTAATGCATAAAAGGTGCAATTTATGGCGCAATATTTTTTTTGCGCACTTTTGGGGAGAATTTAACCACTTTCCAGCATCGGTCAATTAACTATCTTTCACTTCCTAATTCTAGGCACATTATTCAAGTAATCTGTGTATTTTATCCATCTCCCAACCCTTTATAGTCGTCTCTACAAGAAATGAACTCAGCTGATTAAAATTATGTGTTAGATTTCTGAAAATTCACTTCAGGCGAGTTTATTGCCTGTAGAGACAGCTATAAATGGTTGGGAGGTGGATAAAATATACATATTGGCTACAGAATGTGTCTAGAATTAGGGAATGAAAGGAAGTTGGTTGACCAATACAAGAAAGTGGAGAAATTCTCCCCAAAAGTGCACAAAAAATATTGCGCCGTAAATTGCACCTTTTTTGCATTACGGGATCTGTAGCGTTATGGTGAAAGACAAATATATAAAACCATAAAGCTGCAGATCTGCATGTCATATGCAGGGAGGAGGAGGGGGTGTTTGGGTCGATAGCAATTCTCTCTCTCTCTCGCACATAGTGAATTATTCTATTTTTGAAGCTTCAAAAAATTAATTCAGTTCATTTATATCCCGAATACAAATAAACTTTATATACCTCACAAAAGTATTAAAACAGCTTTACCAACCCTTTAGTGATTTTATTAAAGGCAAATTCCATAGCAGTGAAATTAAAATGTGGTTGAGCGAGGGAAGTTTTATTGAAGCAGCTTAATATTCCCGTTAAAAAGTTTAAGTTTAAATCTCCTCCACAATATGCTCGAATATATATCTTTAAATTTTCCACATAGCACTTAATTACATACATCAGTGTATTTACCTCTCTCACCGTACACCTTACGGGGGCTTTTTAAATGGCAAAAGTAGATTTAAAACGACCTTGCAAACGAAATAAAAGAATTGCGCTAACAATTTCATATTTATCTACATAAGACACATTGTTGCGATTTTTTGAGTCCCTTTTTGTTGTGGGGGACAATGTAAAATTTTTGTGTGTTATCAGAAGCTAACGGTAGTGGTGTATTGCGATAAGATCCACCTGTCCCGTGGTCTCGAGGACTTCCGTACATCCGTTGCTAAGACGCTTTTAAATGGCGAGTACCGTACAGGTATAATACGAGATTGAACATCAGATAGGGGTATTGACCAGCCAGCATGGTAGATATAGAGGAATCCTTCTAAGGTATTGTAATGACAGATTCCAATCTACACCTGAAAAGTGCTGCCAATCCGTGTCTGTGTGTGAATTACGTGTTTTATTATCAACATGAAGGATGTTTAAGTGA